GCCAGCGAATGCTGGGCCAAGAGGCGCACTGCGGAGGCAATGAGAGCCCCCCGTCGTGCTGCTCGTTGTCGGCATGGGCCAAAACGTCAAGATGCACGATTGGCCGCCGGTGCTCCTCCAATTGCCGAAACTGGGCTCCGCGCGCGGCAGAAACTCGGCAGTGAGGGTGGTGTGCAGTTTGAACCGGTTGTTTGGGTGGAGTGGAGAGATGTGAGGGAGGGCGAGACGTGCGACTATGAGTTCGAGGACCATGATCTCTCCTCCTTGGTACAGCAAGACCTTAAAGACTTTCGATCTTATCTTAGGGGCGCGCCCAAGAGGCGCGTGGTCCCTGACGGCGCGGCTCCCCTCGAGCTTTGGCATGTGTGTCTCTTTCCGCGGTGGGGGAAAATGCAGCAGAGACTAGGCGTGGGCGCGAGTATGCCCCCCCCGACGACAAGGTTTTTGGGGTTCCTCCTGCGCGTGGGGCTCCGGGAGATTCGCGGGGATTGTCCTTGTGCTGGCGGCGTTGTCAGGCCGTGGCGCTCCCGAAGTCGTTGGTGGTCGGCGCGGTAGGTGAGCGGGTCGTGCATGTGCTGCCGACTGTGGGGAAGATGTATTCGAGGAAGTTGAGACCACCGCCCTCTGTTCAGGATCGTGGGTTTGTGCGAGGACGCAGGCGAGAGAACGTTGTGATCAAGTCTAACTCTACGACCTGGCGATTACGAGCGGCGTCTAGCACGCATTGTATATGCAGGACATGTCGAACGCGTTTGCGAGTGGCACGTGCGAGTCCATGGGCACTTCTGTAGCTATGCATGGCGGGCCGCGATGCTACAGTCTGTCGTCAGCGATGCCGAAATTCTGTGATCCAGCTTCCGGCGAGTGGCTCTCGTTATGCGGTGCAGCCGAAACGAGGATGAACGATGGGTGGCCCTTGCATCGTCGCCGTGTTTCTTGCCGCGTTCTCGAGGCCGATTGTGGGATGGGGGCGAGAGCTTCTGAATCGGGACCCAAGCGCTAAGGGTCTCATCGCGCAGTGGGGCGACCTGAGGGCATGCCTCTCGTTGATAAAACTCGCTGGTGATTTGAATGAGGTTATTGTAAGTGATTTTGGGATTTCACTTGGAGGTTTTCTGAGGTGATCAGATGACTGGACGAGATCTTGAATGACAAGCTTTCCCTCTTCGGTTCCGGCCAGAACATGAAGAAGCAACGGCGGCTCTTTCATTTTCCGAGATTACCCCGCGCCTGTGAGAAGATACTTCGGGACAGTGCTCAACTCCTGGAAGGAACTCCCAAGGATGGCGCTCGGTATCTAGGCCCCTTCTTGGTGCGACGAGAGTCTGCTGCTCGCGAGATGGGGGGGCGCCTCGTCACCGCCAGGGGCGCATTCCACAGTCTGGATGGTGTCTGGTCGTTACCCCTACCGTGCAAGTGGAAGCGGGTGTTATTCTTGGGTTTCTCTCGTATTGCTCTTTTGAGTGGCCTGGAATCCATTGCGCTATCTAAGGTGGACTACTATTGGCTTGCTTGCGGTCTAGCCGCTATGGGGGGGATAGCTATGATGGGGCAAGGCGTCGGAGAAGGAGGTGGTCGGGCGGGGTGGGGAAGATGAGGGGCATGGATGAGGTCTTGGACCTGCTGGGAGGTGGCGCCAGGTGAGGTCGAGATAGCGGTCCGCCGTCTGGGCATGTATAAAGGATGGGCGAAGGGCCCCGCGAACAACGGCCAGGTGCTGCGCAGCCTGTTTGGGGAGATGCGTGCGGGCGCTAATCGACGTCAGTTGGTGAGTGGCCGGCAGTCTGCGTTTTCTTCCCCTTCTGTCAAACAGGTGCACTTTGACGTAGCGTGGGCGTCTAGTGCCCTTGATGAAGAGTTTTTTTTGCATCGAGACCTTCGACTCCTTGGGAACAAAGAGTGGTCCGAAACGTTCGTGCTGTATGACTTCTCGGTCCTCGGAGCGCGCGAGTTTTCGGTGGCGATCCCTCTTCCTGCGCAGTCGTGCCACAGTGCCGAGACTTCTCTGGGGCAGGTTGTGGATAGGGGCTTCGAGCACGTCGTCGACCCTGCGCTTGCGTGCGAGCTCGAGGTTGAAGGCGAGAGATGCGTTGAAGCAGTGTGCGCTCAAACCGGCGTTCAAACTGCCGAGCAGTTTGCGCCCACTTCGACTGCCGCGGAGCCGAAGGCAAGATATGCAAAGCTGTTTTCTCTAACAGAAGGGACTGCGTGAATCATCTTCGTCCAGTTCGCAATGTCAGAAACCTTGCGCATGCACTTGTGGTCAGCAACATGTGTGCATTCTGCTGGCAGGTGTTAGCAGGTACCTCTAACGCGGGACGGCGTCTTCAGGGGTTTATTTCTCGTGGGAACTGCGTGGCCCGTTGGCCATCTCCTATGAAAACGGTTGCTGATATCCCGCCCTCTTTTGCGTGTCGGTGCTGCGCATGACAGGGCTCGCGTCTTTTCTGACATGTGTGACCGTCTCTGCTGTTACCTACCCTTCGTGATCGCCCCGTTCGCCCCCTCGCCTGTGCGTGCCCTCGTCGGCGCCGATGGAAGAGTTGACCTTCCCTTCGCGGTCCGGGGCGCCGAAGCGGAAGGAGGGGGGCCAGGGCCCAGAGGAGGCGGGGGCCACGGCCGACAAGGTTCGAGCAGACGGCGAGAAGCCCGGGCAGGCGGCTGCCCAGGCCGCCGAAGAACCCCGAATGCTGGTAAATGCGATGGCCCGCCTCGTGCTCGGCAACGGCCGAGAGATCGCCGCCGTGGCAGCATGCATTTTCATCAAAGTCGAAGTCGTCATAGGTTGCGGCCTCGTAGCAGCTTGCCTCGAGGCAGGGGGGTCGCGCGACGACGAGTCGAAGGAACTCCGCGGGCGCGCGGAGGAGGAGGGGGGGCGCCGAGAAGGCAACCAGAGAAGAGATGCTCACGCGTGGGCCTCTTCGCCGGCGCATTCTCGTTGCCGCCGTCGCCCACGGGGCCGCCCGCGGTCGAGCAGCAGGGGTGGGAGAGGATCAGGGGCGCAAGTTGATAGCAGAGTGCAGGGATATTTGGGAGAGCAAGGTAAAGAACGCCGGCATGGGCGAGCTCGCTCGGTCGCGCGGGGTGTTCCGTATCAAAGGCTGGGAAAAATAAGAATGGGGGGCCTCAGGAAGCGATTGTCATGCTCTCGTTCCACAGGGAGATGGAGGTGGGTCGGATTCTCGCGGACCTGTTCGAGCCTCTTCTCAAGATGGAAGGGGGGCGGCTCCTCCTCGGGAGCGGCGCCCATGGGGCCCGTCGGAGCGCGAAATTTCCAGACTCTTGGGCGGCAGAGAGCCGTGAATGTCTTCCAGAATTCCGATCGATTCCGTGAGTTCGTTTCTCGTGAAGTAGTGTAGGAAGATATCCTAGGTAGCATGCGCAATCACGTTGATGTATATAGCCACCCGGCGCTCCCTGCCACTCCAGTGATTGTGATGCCACCGCCCGCGCCTTCTGATGTGGGAGGGGGAAGGTCTCGTGGTCGGGGCGGCAGGGGCCGTGGTTCGCGGGGTCGTGGAGCGGGAGGGGGGAGACTCGAACCGCACGCCTCAGAGCCAGCCCCCTGTGTGCGGTTGCGTGCCGCCACGGGTCGCTGGCCATGGCCAGTGTTGCCGTGAGCAGAGAGCGGCAGCCATCCATACCAAGTCCTCCTCCTCCTCACCCTACTGTGGCCTGGGCCACTGATCTGAATCCGAGTCCTTTCTCATCGTCGTCGCCCCGCTCCTTCCCTCCCTCCTCGCCTTTCCCATGTCATCCTGCTCCTCCCACTCCTCCCATTCCCTGCTCCTGTTGCTGCCGTTTCCTCTCGTCTTCCTCCTCCTCCTCATTTTCCTCCTCATCCTCATCCTCATGTTCCGCCTCCTCTTCTTCCTATCATCATCATCAGCATCAATCATCATCGGTTTCATCATCATCAGCATCATCACCACCATCGTCAACAACATCATTATCAGGATCATCGCTCTCAGTATCATCGTCACCACCGCCACCATCATCATCATCACCCTCATCATTATTTTCATCATCATCATGACCATCATCTGCCTCCACCTTCTCCTCCTCCTCCTCCTCCGTTTCGTCTTCTTCTTCCGATGTGTGCAGCCCCCCTTCCTGATTGCATACGGCACGATCGTGGGTCCTCTTGTGGGCTCCAGTTCCTTCACGACACCCATCGGCGGACGGAGCTAACACAGCAGCGCAGTGAGCAGGGATTGGTGGGTGGGATGTCACAGGTAGCGCCACCGCGCCTGCGTGAGCAGGTTTTGGACTCTTTCGGCCTTTTCGGGAGCAGGACCTCCCCTGGGTGAGGTCCCTGGGGCAAGCCCCCCTTCGAACCCCGCGTGAAGACGGCAAGTCGGACCCGGAGGCCTCCGATTTCGGCTGAGATCATTGACTGCTCGGCTTGAAGCCCCTCCCCAACAGCAACCTCTACACCTGCTCATGGGCACGCGCACTTCGCCGTACGAGCCTGCACCAACGCCTCGCTCTCGCTCGCTTGCTCGCTCGCTCCTACTCGGCGACTGCAGAGGGCATGATTACTCCAGGGTGTGGACTGCGATCTGTGTCTTTGGAGCCTGGGCGGCGCCACGTTACCCTCGTCGGGCCTCGCCCGGGCGCGGCAGAAAACTATGCCGAGGTCCTCGCCCGCCCGCCCAGGGGGGTTGCGGGTTGCAAACCACACTCCTTGCCAACCACACCCTTTTGACGAATGAACGACGCACATACCCATAGGGGGTCGGATGGGGGCTATGGGTGCGTGTTGTCGTATGGGGGTCCCCGCTCGATCGGGAGCGCCCCCCCTGGTCCGACAACCCGCGCCCATACCCATAGCCAGTCCTCCTCCCAACGACTCTCCTACGGGTATGTGTGTGTGTGTGTGTGTGTGTGTTGTGTTCGTTCGCCATTTTCGGAGTAGCCGATGGACACCTGCCCCTCAGCTCGCTCCTCCCGCTGCCCGCCCCGTCCCTCGCACGCGGTGGCAAGCCGCGCCCCAACAGGCGCGGCTCTGAGGGGTACGCCGCGGAGCGGCCGCGGCGCGGCCGCGGCGGCGGTGCCCGCCCAGATCGAGTGGCTACCGCGCGGATGAGGACAAGGAGGATGATGATGAAAGATGATGATGATGATGATGATGGTGATGAAGATGATGATTCTGATGATACTGATGATGATGATGCTGATGATGATGACGATGATGACAATGATGGCGATGATGATGATGATGATGATGATGATGATGATGATGATGATGACGATGACGATGATGATGATGCTGATGACGACGACGACGACGATGATGATGATGCTGATGATGATGATGATGGTGGTGGTGGTGGTGATGATGATGCTGATGATGATGATGCTGATGATGATGATGACGATGATGATGCTGATGATGATGATGCTGATGATGATGATGTTGATTATGATGATGATGATCATGATGATGACGATGATGGTGATGACGAGGATGATGATGATGATGATGACGATGATGAGGACGATGATGATGATGCTGGTGATGATGATGATGATGATGATGATGCTGATGATGATGATGATGATGATGATGATGATGATGATGATGATGATGATTATGATGACGATGCTGATGATGGTGATGATGATGATGATTAAAAATAATGATGATGGTGATGATGATGTTGGTGGCGGTGATGACGATGATACTGATAGTGATGATCATGATAATGATGTTGTTGACGATGGTGGTGATGATGCTGATGATGATGAAACCGATGATGATGGTGATGATGCTGATGATGATGATGATGATGATGATGATGATGGTGATGATGCTGATGATGATGATGATGATGCTGATGCTGGCGATGATGATGAGGATGATGATGATGACGATGCTGCTGATGATGATGATGATGATGATGATGATGATGATGATTATGATGGTGATACTGATGCTGATGATGATGCTGATGATGATGATGATGATGATGCTGATTATGATGACGATGATGACAATGATGGCGATGATGATGATGATGATGATGATGATGATGATGA